TGTTTTCTCCCTGAAATGGAGTAAAAGCAGAACGTGATTCTTTTGTTCACCGCCGGTGCCCTCTGGAGACAGCAGCTGAGGGAAAGTAAACGCAAAGTGAACCTGGAGCGCCACCTGATGGCACCGCATTAAAACCACACAGGCTGTGCGTTGGCAAGAGAAGGGGCAGGCACCCTGTAACGCACACGGAGAAGTATCATCTTCTTGCAAAAAATACCAAATATGTTGAGCAAACAAGCACACAGAGGCTCCAAATTAAAAAAAAAAAGATCCCCAACCTAATGCTGAAATGTAAATGCAAGAAGTAGGTGATTTACCTCATCACAAAGGTTGAAAGTTCCACCTCTGACATTAACACTAGGTTTTAAGATGACAGCATCACAAACACCGTATGCCCACACAACCATTATGTGCAAATCTGCTTCTTCTGCTTCATAGACAAAAAGCATTTCAGTTCTCTTCCTGGCCGCATCCAGTGGGCTCTGCAATATGATCTCAGAGGAGATGCACCTAAGAGCTGGCAATAAAACTTCATGTTATTTGATTACTACGTCCAGCATCAGCTTCCAAGGAACAACCCACTGCACCACTCTCTGCTTTTATATTTAATTTCTCCCATTGCTAAGTGTTTCTTTACCTGCTTTTCAGCCTCCCAGCAGCAATCCCAGCCAGACAATACCATCAATAAAAGATGTACCAGCTCTAAGCAGAACTCCTACCCACAACAGAGTCAGGAGAACAGGGACATTAACACACCAAAACACTGAGCAGGCATTCCTGCACATATCCTGCTCTGGTTTTCATTATTAGTTGCAGGTGGGAAAGCTAAGAACTAACTGTGCTCAGCCTCACTCGTTAAATCTATTCCCCCACACTAAACTTTGGGAAAGCCCTTTCTTTTTTATTTTGTAATGGTGCTGCAGGAGGGGGAGGATACAGCAAACTATGAGTGACTCTGGGGAGACAATCCAGACAGATCTATTCCAAAAGGCTGGATTTGTTCTGCATGAAACTAACTGAACCATCTTCAAACAGGTTGTACCATCAGTCTCCACGACTACATCTATTAGCCCAGATCAGGCTGTGAATGTCCAGGCTGCAGAATCAGGTTTAAATTACCAGTGTTTCATTGCTTCTGTAGGTATGTTTGAATCTGGGGGCCCTCTGTCTGCAGCCAACTGTGCGAAACTTGTCCTTCTGGAGGAGTAGTGAGAACACACTGGAAAACATCAGAGTTTTGCTGCTTTGTTTTCTGTCTTGAAAAGGAGGAATTCATGTTTCAACCCGCAGGCCATCTGAACTACAACAAAGAGGGGGATCGAGGGTAAGAAATTCTACCTGACAGAAGAGGTTGGGGATGGACTGCCAACATCCAGTCCTGAGGATACAAGGTTTTGTCAGGAAAGCCCCAGGATGTGTTTTTATACTGAAGTGTCAGATATGGCTCTGTTGCAAAACCTGCATGCACTGACTACACATCCTATATACAAACATGCTCCATCTTACTTGTGCTCAGCTTGCACCTGTTTCTTGACTGAACTGCTGACTATCAATAATATATTTTATGTTTTGTCTTGGGAAGTATGATAACACACTCCTTCAGTAGAATTGCAAAGAAATTGCTGGCCTTGTTATCAGCTTCATGCCCTTCAGAGGGCACCTATCTTTAGAACTGCTTGTAATTCATCATGTTTTCAAAACTAAGAAAATAATAAATGTAGAATTAATTGAATAATTAACAGCAGTTGCCACATTATCATAGAATTGTAAAATCACTAAGGTTGGAAAAGATCTCCACGATCATCCATTCCAACCATCCACCTACTACTACTATTTTCCTCCCTAAACCACTGACCCTCAGTACAACATCTTGAACACCTCCAGGGACAGTGACTTCACCACCTCCCTGGGCAGCTGATGGGAACTGTTGATCACAGCTCTGATTGACCACCTGAAGCAAGCAATGAGTCAGCTGTGGGAGCACAGGTGAAGGCAATTCACTTGTGCTACCCGAAGGGGCAGAGCCTAGCTGCACCTCTCCTAGATCCCATTTAAGTGCTGACTGCCACTAAGGAAGGATTTTTTTCTGAAGATTACTCCTTGTGGAGTTTTCTGCAAGCCTACGACACTGGTGAGCATTTCCAATTATTTTTATTATCTTTCCACTATTATAATCTTACTAAGCCTAACCTCTGTGTACTTACTGATTGTACAGCAGCTTATTCCACTGCCTCACCACTCTTCTGGGTAAGAATTTTTTTACTGCTATCCAACCTGAGCCTCCCCTGGTGTAACTTGAGGCCATTTCCTCTAGTCCTATTGCTAGTTATGAGAAAGAAAAGGCTGACCCCATCTCACCACAACCTCCCTTTGAGAAATTGCAGAGAGCTATATGTAATCCCTGAGCCTCCTCTTTTCTGCACTGAATGATCCCAGCTCCCTCAGCTGCTCCCCGTAAGACTTGTGCTGCAGGCCCTTCTTTGAACACACTCCAGGACCTCAATGTCTGTCTTGTAATGAGGAGCCCAAAACTGAACACAGTATCTGAGGAGTGGCCTCACCAGAGCTGAATGCAGGGGGACAATTACTTCCCTGGTCCTGCAGGCAGCACTATTCTTATATAAGATAGGATGCCACTGGGCACACTGCTGGCTCATGTTTAGCTGAGCGTCAACCAAGTCTCCCAAGTCCCTTTCTTCCACGCAGTCTTATGGCTGCTCTGCCCCAAGTCTGTAGCATTGCCTGGGGTTCTTGTGGCCAAAGTGCAGAACGTGGTACTTGGTCTTATTGAACTTGAGACACTGCCTCTCCAGTCCATCTTAGGAAGATGGACTGTTTGGAATATAAAGCTGTAGCACGTAGCAGTAGAGCAGTTATTTTATGCTGCTTGCCAGCAAGATTTGCTGTCGCAAGAAACAGCCTTTGCAAAAACACTGAGCCCAGGACTGCAACTGCTTAAGTGTTAGCAGTTACGTTTTGTCAGCTACAATTAAGAAGTATCTGCTAAAAACATTTTGGAACACTATTATTAGACAGATAAGAAAATGGAATACCCATACATCATATTACTGCTATCTTATTTTCCCATTTAAAAAAATACAAATATTAAGGAACACTTGAGAAACGGACAAGAATTTAACCTTCTGGACCTACATTCAGCTGTGTCAACATAGAGATGTAATTGTTAGTGCATCTCCACCTTCTCTGCAAATACAAGGAGGGAGGAAACTCCACAGTTGCTTCATGACAAAAACCCAAATTCTCCTTTGAAGAAGCTCCCACCTCTGTATTAAATAAGGCAGTGTTTTATTACAAGGAAAAAGTGATTATATAGGTAAAGATAAAAAAGCTTTATGCCATTCCTACCATACTGTAGTCTTATGCTAGAGGTTCTCTGCTGCTGCAGTGAGTTGGTCAAGATTGTTTTCTTTCCTCCCTGAGGTCTGGAATCTGACACAGGCACTATGCACTAGAAGGGCAGCTCCCTGATGTCACTGGGATTCAAAGTCCTACTCAGCAGTTCATCCTGGGCTGAAGTACAAAGACAGGCAAAGATTAGAGGTGTTGCATGCAGATAGCAGCTTTAGAAAATTTAGCTCATCTAACTTGTCTCTACTTAACACATGAATTATTTTTATCTCCTAACAATTTCCTAAGAAAATGCTAAACTAGAATTCTTGAAGTTGTTGGAGTTAAGCCTTGTAATAGTACTGTTATAGATGGGAACTGAACTACCTGGATTCAGCCTTTTGTCTCAGTGACAGAGCAACCGTTTCCAGAGAAATCAATAAAACTACATACTACTTCTTGCAACACTTTCCACATCTGACTTCATCACATTTTCCAGGATATACATCAACTTCTTCAAAACACACCAATTAGCCAATAAATTGACATCCTTGTGCAGAGTAAAAGCTTAAATAAAAAGATGATGCTTATTTTTTCCCCTCCTGACAAACACATGAACAGAAGTTTTAAATTTATGCATATATAAAGAAATTTAAAGAAAAAAAAAAAAAAGCATCTTTAGAACTTAACATTTCGGAGCCAGGAAGCCCATTTGGGTATTCAAAAGAAGCCTATTGATAGTCCAGGAGGAGAAAAAAAAAAAAGGAAAAGTAAAGGCAAAGTATGGCTTATTTGCTGCCAAAAGCCAAGAGAAAATCAGGTAAACTGATCTTTGCCAAAATTAACATTTGCCTGCAAATTCACACTATTTACTTTCTCCAAGGCTGACAGTTTCCAAAACTAAAAGCACCTTTAGAACACACTTCTACTTTAAAGATTCTCTGATAGGCTCCAATGTGACCAGGTCTGCAACACCAGGCTCAGCTAAGTGCCTGAGATTCTGGCATCCTTGTTTGTAGATGCTTGCTTGTCTTTGAATTCTATCTGCAGCTTGATCCTGATATTCAAAAGGGTGCCAATGGCTGGAGTGCAATCAAATGCCCCATTTTTCTAAGTTTCTCCTTATCAGTCAGTTTTCAGTGACTGTGTTTCCCTCATGCTCTCTAAATTTATGACAGGTATGGAAAGGCAAAAAGGATATCAATGTAGAAAGAGTGAAAGAGAAGTCAGGGAAACAGAATGTTTCTATGATTCTATGCAGCATAGAATCACAAGGTTGGAAATGACCTATAAGATAATCTAAGTCCAACCATCTCCTCATCACCATTGCCACCACAAGCACTAAACCATATCATGCAGCACATCATCCAGACACCTGATGCACAATGTCATCCAAGCACTCAAAAGGCAGGAAGTCACAATGAAAGCGAAACTTGCAGTATGTCTAGATTCTATAGCTACAAAAAACTTGGCCTGGTACACTCTGGTTTTACTGCTAGCTTGAAGTAACGTGAAGTACAACTCGGGCAGCTCACAGCATAAAACTGCATGTTCTAGATTGTGTTTTCCAATGAAAGCTGTTTGTCATCAGTGCAACATGAACAACTGCTCAAAATGTCAAAGCATAACAAACACACATTGTACCCATTTAATCAAGCTTGTATTTTATCTTTATTTGCACAATAGAAATTATTCAACAGCCATTCTATTTCAGTTTCCAACGCAGACTTCTACATACCATGTTCAGTTGCTTTGGCTTGTCTGTTACTGGTACCAGTACAATACCAGTCCTACCATACGGTGTTTGTCATTCACGCACCAGCATGGATTATACCTTAGTGTCAGAATGTAGCTATCACAGCCATTAGAACAAACAGCTTGTTTTGTAAAGAATATTTAATGCAAAATGAAAGCTTGAGAGCATTTTACTACCTTGCTGGGGTGTGAAATGGTGTACCCTTCCAAAAAAAGATTGAAATCACCGATTTCTGGACAAGAACTGAAGCAATACGTTTTTTACACAGATATCACCACCAGGAACGGATTATAGGATCACCTTTTTCTACAATACACCAAATAAATACAAGCAATATGTGCAACATAAGCTATTATCAACTACCTACTATAAATCATACCTGTGAAAATACATAGGAGCATGTTGTGAATATTTAAAGAGTAAAGTGCTTTAACACAGAGCAAGAGAATCCACCTAGTGTCCTATCACAGGCAAACAACATGTTCACTTGGGACAGAATGGTCTCCATGCAATTAGTCAGCAGCAATGCCCTGCATTCTTTTATAACATGAAACCAGTATATAACACTTCAGTCATATTGGGCTTAAAGTTGAGATACAGTGTTTACACTTACAAAACTCAACCAATGCTCTATGTTAGCATACGTTTTAAGCATTGCTACAGCAGGGTGGTTTTGTGTTTATTTTTCTTTTTAAGAAGCCAAACCTTTGGTAGTGTAAATGCAGTGTACATCGAGGATGCCACTGGACCACAATGAGCTCATTATGCAGCTGACAGGAATGGAAAGAAGAAAAAATCAAAAACAAATTTAATGGCTTTATGCACTGTGCTCCTCCAGTCATGCTCTATTTTCACATGCCTCCCTGCAGGTAGGAGTTTAGACATGCAATTCAAGCAAGTGATTGCTTTCAGTTCAAAGACAGGCCATTTACTGCCAAGACGACCTTCCAGAATTGTGCTGAATTCAATTATACTTCCCTGCCTCAAATTCAACAACACTTTCTTAAACTCACTGCTTGCTTTCAGCACAATATCTTTGGTTATATCATCTTCCTCCATCAACTTGGTTCCATTTTTGCTACTGAAAGGCATACCCACAGTTATTTCAAATTTGTACCGATCAAACATTTTCATGTGGCACTTATGCTTTGTCAAGTACTTGAGACGGCACAACTCTTCCTCCTCCATAGTGACATTTTTGGGGTCACAAAGAGGGTAGGTTTCACCATACAAGCACCTCATCCAATCGCCAATAAACAGTGGAAGCATGTTTATTGCAGATTCTGCACTATTGTCAATTTCTGTCACACGCACGTATTTGAACCGCCCAGTCCAAGTCACTCTGTGTCCTTCCAGGTGACTACATAAAATCTGAGTACGTGCCATATTGGTCTCCTTCCACGATCGGGGTCCACAGAGGAAGGCATACTGATTCCATGTCAAGGTGGAGTTGTAAACTTTCATTCCTTCTGATCGATACACATAGAACCAACAGAACAACACCACGGCTGTAATCCACACCAAAATGAGTTTCACAATTGAGCTTCGTGTGAGGGATTTAACCATATCTACTACAGAGAAGTTGACTTTTGTCCACCATCGGAAGAGCAAAGGAACAGCACACAAAACTAGAGTCACTACAATTTTCATGAGCTCCAGAGACACGAACCACTTAATGAAATGGACCAGACACATCAGCGCAATGCCTACACCTAGCACTGGGAGTGCAAAGAGAAACAGGAAGTACCCAATTGATGCACGGACCAGACCAATGCCAGAGGACTCCCGCAGAATGACCACGGAGAGTTCACACCACATGAAGCAGACCAGATATGGGACCACGTAACAGTAGGTGCCTTTAAAATTTCGCAGTTGTGCCATTCTAAAGAAAAGATAGAACAAATACAAAAACAAAAGGCACGGGATGCTTACATTGATCACAAAAAGATGGCCTACGGGAACAGTAAAGAAGGTTTTACCTAAGAATTTCAAGAAGCCAAAATTCCCAGGTAATATCTGCAACAGGGATAAGCAACCTGCTGCTATCTCAGTCATTAGAGCTCTTCGTGTGTATGGCTCTGCACACGTGCTTAAACTCATGTAACTTGTCACTGTGAAGAAAACTGAGACAATAGCTAACTCTGAGCATGGTATACAGTCCTTGCTTGCTATAGGGAAGGAAAAAATCACAAAGAATACTGAGAGTAAAAAATAAATGTAGGGCTCTAAGTGATTCCACCCAAAGTTCACCTCAGCTTGCTCAACATCTAGGTTTGGTTCAAAGCGAAGCAGTAAGTCAGTCAAAGTGCGGAAGTTTTCCCAGGCCTTACTGTCCTGAAAAACTTTTAGTGTGCAAATCACCATAGAAATGAAGGACAAATAGAATATAACTAACGGAATAATGAAGGCAAAAAAATCAATTGTCAGATTACTGATGATGAAGAAGAAGATGAGAGCATTGATGTGATGTGTCGGAATAATGGTAGACAGCCAATGCATTCCTGCCTTTGATGCAATATCTATGAGATATTCTTTAATTTCCATTATGGCATGAAGTGGGTATTTTACAACCTAGAAAGAGAGAAAGAAGCATTTTATTTAAGAGCAGTTTTGTACTGGTACACCACAGATATTAACTGAAGCAGCAGCAGCCAGTTGTCTAATCTCAGTTGACATGAAAAGATTTTTATTCTGAAAGAGTGTTGCCAATAACGTGACTTTATGTTGTCTGATATTATTAGCTCTGTTTTGATTAATTCAGTCAGGTGAAACGCAGAGGCTATTTTGATTTCAAGGAAGATGAATTTCATTACCTTTGACACGTAATTAAACGGCTTCCTAGTCAAATACTCTGCTCTGCTAACTTCACACTGAAGATAACACAGAACTGTAGCCCTGCAGTTTAGCTTACGTCATCACTTGAGCTGTGAGTAATGCAAGTTTTAAAACATTTAGCTCTACCACTCTTCTGCAAAGAGCATGTTATACACTCCGATTGTATGCACTTGCAGAAAGGCTTTATAGTCGTGTTTTATCTTTAAAAGATCCTTTCCACGTACCTACAGATGCAGCTGTCAAAATCTATTTTATAAACAGCAGAAAATCACTGTAGATAATCTTAAAATTTTACCCATCTCACACGGCATTTTCCTTTACAATTATACAGCAATAGAAGAAATGCTAGATCAGGTCTCCCTACGGCCACCTACACATTTAGTTTATTAGCAATAAATTTTCAGGATTTTTTTTCAAACAAGCATTCAAATATTACCATCTGCATATTATATAGTGCAAACAGTCCCATAAAAAACAGTTTTTAATGTTTTCCCAGAAGTTATGCTTTTACATTAATTACAACAGCAGAAAAGCCAAAAATGCTTCAGCAAACCTCTGCAACATTGTGAAGAAACGGCAACAAACACAAAGACTTTGGCACAAGCCTGTTCATTAGCAGAAGTATCTCTGCTGTTCTTCATAAATGCATCTCTTTCAGAGTATTAGTTGTTCAAACTATTGGAAGAGATAAAACCTATTACTTTTTTTGTTAACCCTTCTGTATGATAATGGACAACAAAACCTCTCATGGCAGTCGCTAGGAAGCCCCTGCCTTGCTTGAAATTTATATTGATATTGGACATTCATCCTCAATTTTCCCTTCTCCTTTTACTACCTAGAGAAATAATACTGATGACAAATTGCACCATTCTTGAAATCCTCCATAATAGAACTTTTTAACCTTAGCCTCGAGACTAAGGATAGTTTTTGCCACCTCCTCATTCCTTGTAATGTAAGAAAGATATCAAGTATATAAAAACCACTGTAATAAAATTATGACAGTTATTATAGGAGCCTTTAAATTCTCATTGAGATGTAATGAACATAGTTTGTCCCCTTGCAAGGAAAACTATTACCCTTTTCTCTTAAATACATGCCTGAAATTATGAAATTATAAATACATAAAAGAACTAAAGCCAAAAAAGAAATAACAAAAATTCTACTACTGATCTACTGAGGCTAAATATCAGCTTTGAGAAACAAGTGCAAATCATCTCTGTTCTGAAATGTGCACTTTACAGCCCTTCCACACAACCTGTTTATTCCTGTCTGCTTACCTTCAGTCTCAGAGGCAACTCTTCAGGAGTCTTCCCTGCCAATTCATCATCTTCCTCCTCCTGCATAATCAGGTTAGATGGGATGATTCCCTTTGCATACTTCTTGGTAATCTCCACAAAGTCATCCAAAGCAATAAATTTTTTAGCTGTAAGGTAAAGTATAGATTATGAGTAAATAGCATCACTAAAATGCTGCACTGTCTATATGAACTGGAATATTAACTTTCTTTCATGTTATTAAAGATGTGCTCTGGACTTCAAAAACTGAACTGCTTACCTTTAAACTTGCTCTAAGATTTGTACTTAAAACAACCAGCTGCTTTTCCCAGCAATACATGACTACTCTAAATCTTGTCAAACCAGTACATATTTTATTGTATTTGCAAATAGGAAAACAAAATGTAGCTTATTTGTAAGTATTCCGAGGAAAAGAGACTGCTGGATTAGGTTACACAGTTTCAAATCATAACTTATCATAGCTTTGGTAATTGAGAGAAATCTTTAACTAAAATCCACACTGAAAAGAAACAGTTGTACAGGAATAGTAATGAATTGCCTATACATGATGAACTGAAAACCGACTTCTGATTTGGTTTAGCAATTATTTTTCCAATTTTGTAACTTACAGTCAGATATAATTACATCAAATGCCCAATTATTTATATCTACAAGATTAAATACAAGTTTACTTTAGCATATTAACTAAATATGCTGTTGGGCTATATGAAAACTCCTCCCTCGAACTACAACAGCTAGGATTTAAATTAGCTAGCCACAAAATATGCTTTACTCAGTTGTACACAAAGGCAAAATTTTTCACTGCCTAACAGCTCATTTACAGGTATGAAGCATCTTCTCAGCTATTGGCCCTCAGTATCCACTCCTACAAGTAGAACAGAAGCAAGAGATTACTTCAGAGATCTCCAGGGATGCTACAAGATGCCTTATACACTGCTTCCAACTCTTTTCACACCCAGTGCCTCGCATTAGCATGCATTAGCTGGTTTCTATGGTAGGCAAGCTTGATGTCGTTTGTAAAGGAGGATAATTAACAGCAACTTTTCCCATACGCTGCAGTAAATGACACTGCTGTAGGTATGAAAGACTTCTGAATGACAAAAATCTGCAGTACACCACCTACACAGTATGTTTAGCAAGTCAGCTGACAAAAATAAAAACGCTGGCCTGCTCAACATAAGTTCATGATTTTAAAGCGACAGCAAACCGAATGGCTTAACTAAGTTTCACATAGAAGATTAGTGGATTTGAGCTTTAAAAAGGTTTTAAAAAGCTTTAACAGAAATAGTAGCTCTATGGAAGCCATATAAAATACATTTGTGGTTTTTAATATGAGAAAGCTGTAGATAACAGGACAAAAAAGGGCATTTTTTCAAGATACTCATTAAAGAAAGAGGTGTTACAAGGAGTTCAATGGAAAAACAGCAGCTTGAAATATTTGCTTCAATCTCACAACTTGGACGTTGCCCTTGCTTGCACTTTTAAAATATTTTTCTGTTTCCCCACTGTATGAACCCTTACGTCCCACCAAATACCACATGGCACTGTTCCCAAAAAGCAGTTTAATTTTCTGCTAACTTGTCTTTTCATTCACAGACTGCAAGGCTACATGGCTTGCACAAAGAATTCAGTGAGGTTCCTCAGTTGTCTTTGGTGTGCTCCAGATCACTCCTAACTCCACACAGACACCTATGCTTACTGCCTGACATATATATATTTGGACAAAATATACAGCAGTAAAAATAGATTTTTGGTGAGGAATCAGTATGTAGACATGACTAGAATCTTATTTATGTTCCTTTAGGAACTTTTACATGATTCTGAGTTATCCTGAGTGGGAAAGAGTTATTAATTCAATTAATAAAATTAATTTTTGCCTATCAGGCATAACAATATACACACTCTCAGGCATGCAACAATTGTCCATTGACAACATCAGCTTTAGTATTCCATTTATGCCTTCATTAAGAATACTCCAGATCAAGTATCAGCAAACATATTACTGGCTTAACACTTCCAAGAATTGACAACATATTAAAACTGAAGGAAAAAAATTCCTGCTGGCAAGATAAATGCAGAAACTCAGTGGATCAGAGAATTAAAAGCTGGATAGGAACAGCCGTCTTGTTCATCCACGAAAAGATAAAAGCTCTCCAGAGAAGAGGTAACAGCTTAACTCCTACTTTAAGTGTTTGATGAAAACTTTTCATTTTTAAACGTTAGTAGTATTTTGTCATCCAGATGTCTCTTAAATTGATATTAAAAGTGTATGTTGTAGATTCTACTTCATTATTCATAGATTTTTTTCCTTCAATTTGGTTATGACAAATTCCCTGCCTCCCCCATCCACCGTAGGAAAAGAAAAATATGCACATCAATTCCTGCCTACGCTTACAAGTAGGTTCATTTACTCTCCTGTTATTTTATCTGCCATTTAAGCCTTAAAAAAGAGAGAAAGAGAGAAAGAGAAAAAAGCAGTTCCTTTTTTGACAATCTGAATTCCTGAAGAATCCAGAGCAAAATGACTTGCTTTGCACTCATGCTCTGTCAGCACGTGCCTGTTCAGCTAGGGAATGCAAAGAACATGAGTGTCATCCAGCAAGTGCCCAGCAATGTAACTCCAGTGAACTCAGTTACAACTGCTTTACGATTCCACAACCAAACAATGAAACACAATCTTTGAAGGACTATTTCTAGATTTCCAGAAGTGGCAAATCAGTCACAGGAACAGCTAATCTACTCCCATGGAAATTTTGATAGGACCAGACATTTGGTCTTCCAAGTACTATTTCTCCCTGTCTTTATTCCCTCCTTCATATACACAGGCATGTGTTCTTCCTCCACATAGCCAAAGCTGAAATACTCTGTTCTTAGGAGTGTCAGCTTCACTGGCAGTTGCATAACTTGACTGTGAAGCCACCTGTGTAATGAATACAATCCTTGAAGGCCAAACTGAAGTGATGGAATGTACATTTAATCTTTCAAGGACCTGAGACATGCAAAACCCTGATCTGGCTTATAAATCCATGTATAACATTTTAGTTGCACAATTCCTAACTACAGTATATTAGTAAGTAACAAGTCGTGGGACATTTAGCAGTGCTTTCAAGAACTGATCTACATTTTATATATCACACAAACTGACCTGTCCCTACCTCCTTGAGATATGAAAGCAATACCTTGGTACCTATTTCTCAGATAAATTCTTGAACAAATACGAAAAAGCAAACATTAATTATAAGGGAATGGCAAACAGAAGCAAGGCAAATAGAGTGAGGGAACTGTCTGCACTAAGAGTCTGCATAATTAATTCCCTTATTATAAGTAGAGACTTTATTACAAGTTAGAAGGAAAAAAAATTACTGAAAGTGCAATTTATTTTCTTTTTACTGAATTGCCTCTTAAGCTGAAATGGGAAGAAAATGGCAACTTACATGCAAATTCCCTTTAATGTACTAATCACTGACAAATTTATGAGAATGGTAACATTCTACGGCTTCACGTGCAGATCATTTATTTACCTTGCACATACAATAAATGGACATCATCAATTTACAGCAATTAAAACTTGCTATATATCCTTACTCAGGCAGATTAAAAGAAGCAGCAGGTACTCACATTCAGAGCTCACTAAACGCTCCAGCATTCTCCTCTGCTTCTGCACTGACTTTGGGACTGGACCAGGTTGCTTCTCACCATCTGGTTCAATAACAGAAGTTAAAGCTGCTAATTAAAGTGATCAAACAAAAACTGGAATGTTGTTCAACCTCAATATCTGGAGAATGGTATTTCCTCAAACTCAGCACAAGACATACATATCAATAGGTATGGAGTAGCTATTTACCTCTCTGTATCCTTATTACTATGCTTAAAAAAAAGAAAAAAAGAAAGGGAAGGGAAGAGATTTGTCAGAGCACATATGATTCCGTAACAGCAGATTTAACCAGATGTCTTACAGGCTGAATTTGTGAACTGCAATATCTGGTAAAATTTAAGGATGACTGGGGTAAGGGGAAAAAAACTGAAACACAGTAAAACTGTAAGACATGGACAGCAGCTGCTTAACTGAACCACAGTCTACAGCAGGAGTTAGCAGTCTTTAGGAAATAATTTCACTAGTGCAGAGAGAGTACTTACTAATATAGCCATTAACAGTTACTTTTTCTTAAGTAAACCATACATTTACTTTACTTTAACTCATGCTTGATTTTTTATTAAGCTGTCCAGTTTTCTAGCTGTATTCTGCCTGCAATTATGTGTCATCAATACCATAAATCAGTTCATAAACAAACCTTCATTATCAACTTGCCCAACATTTTCCAGTAGTTCAGAAACTGCTAATTGCTTCTTCTTTTTTGGGTTTAATTTCCAATACATGACTAAGGCAGCTTTTCTCACAGCTCTCTCCAAGTCAGTCTCAGATGATAGTTTTTTCACTTCTTGCTCATTCTCAGAAGTGATGCCTCAAGAAAAGAAAAATACATTAGATACTATTATCCCACACCCTTTCTGAAATGACAGATTGGCCCACAATTGATTTTTTCTCAGTTTTCTGAAACCTCTCAAGTTTCATTCACTACTTCACCCCTTACATTTTTCAAATGCCCTTCCATGCTCAAAATCTAGTTTCATTCATACTGTACATGCAGTATCCTTAGATCTTTTTCAACTTTTGAAGTACAACAGATCAGGCAAAAGGAGGTACAGACATGTATGACTAACATACAAAAAGCAGAAAGAATTTCACAAAAAAATAAAATTAAATATTTTTAAATATGAGTTCAGATAAGTGGCAGACAAGAGGAACCCATTTCAAGTGGTGGAAGCAGTATGAAAGAAGTTATGAATCCTGAATTCGGAGAAGACAGCCAGAAAGAACAAGCAGAAGAAAGCCTGGAACTGGGCAAAAGGCTGAAACAGCAGGTATGTAGGTGGTATACAGTTATATCTGACCTAAACTGTCACAGAAAAGAAGCTTCAATGGTGTTGAATGGAAAAATGCACATGGATTCCATGAAGGAATTCAATCAAATCATTAATACAAATGTTTTTTGCAGCACTTATTTGAACACATTTCCTGCAGCTACTCATACAATTTTGCCATGAACATTCTCGTTGCATTTTAATGTCTTTGCAGTGTTAAAATGGATGGACTATTATTAAAGTAGGATGTACAAAAAGTCTCAGAGAACCCATACCTCTTCTGTCTGCTAGGCATCTACGCAGCAGTTTAACAGCTTCTCTTCGACCTTGCTTAGCAGCAAGGATGAACCAATCAACCGCACTGCAGTTGTTAAGTTCTTCATCCTCCTCTTCTGCTAATCTCAAGAAGTGTTTCCCCACCTAGAACAAGTGGAGAACAGAAATTCCTTCAATTACTGAAATACATGATAGTGTCTGTCTCTCTCTTCTCACCCCCTCAGACTCAGCTACAATAAAATCTCTTTGAACAAAAGGTCAAAACATTTGCTCCCAGCACTAAAGAACATAGTTGTAAGTTGATATTCTGCAGAGAAAGATCACTTTCCAGAACTGGAAGCACGAAGGAATTGCAGTACACTTGATCAGGTCAAAGAATTAGTTGCCACTGGTCTCTGAGCATCTAGCAGGATCAGTTAAAGCTCATGGTGTTATTAAGTCATATTTAGAGTGGCCATTTCTTCAGTATCTAAAGGAAAGCTACAAGAAAGTATGGGATAGACTGTTAAGCAGGGTGTGTGGTGATAGGACAAGGGGAAGTTGTTTCACACTTACAGAGAGTAGATCCTGGGTGTAACGAAAAAGTCTTTCACAGTGAGGGTGAGGCACTGTAACAGGTGCCCAGAGATGTGGTGGAAGCCCCATCCCTGGAGACACTCAAGGTCAAGCTGACCGAGCTCTGGGCAACCTGATCTAGCTGTGGATGTCCCCATTCACTACAGGAGAGCTAGACTTGATGACCTTTAAAGGTCCTTTCCAACTCTTAAGGATTCTATGATTCTCTTTGATCCTTTACTTCCAATAAAAATAGTCAGATAAAATTCCGATGATGTAGGCTGGCAAAGAGTCTTGGCATGGAAGGAAGGTTCAGCAGTGAAATGCCTGGCTCACTGCAGCTTAGCCACTGAAGGTCAAAACAAACTCATGATTAATTAGCAAATGGAAGAAAACTAACACAGCTTAAGCACCTAGTAATTTAAGTGATATAACTTGTAAAATTCCTACCATTAAGGATTAATGTAATGTTAAATACAATTATGCTGTAGCATGAAACACTTCTGCTTATCAAACCCCAAGACTACAAAAGTTAAGTGGCAGAAAGTGGCCAAAAGTACTGGACACTTATTTACATGTACAGGGAACCTGGAAAATGCTTTTGTTTAGTTAACTGCTCCCCTTCTCTCTCATTCTCTCTCTCTCTTCTTTATTATTTACACTCAGAATGTAACTGAAATAATAATAGACTACGGCTCCACAAATCTACTATTATCTGTCGCAAAAAACAAACAAACAAACAAAAAACAAAAACCACACCAACCCTGCTTGACAGTTTCTCTGAAACTTTGCATTTGATATTACCAGTTGGTGTGACTAAAGAAATATCTTCGAAACGTGAATAATAAACAGTTGTTGCAAGCAAACTGAACACTGATCTCATCAAAAAGATGTTTCTGTTCGACATGAAAGGTTAGGTCTCCAGCTTTGCAACTGGTTCAAGCACTTAATTGGGTGTTCAAACAAATTCTACTTAAGCAGTCACTGAATAGACCTTGGAGCAATTAAACTCATAGGACATACAGCAAAGTGACCCAAAAATGTAAAGGAAATTAGAAAAATATTGGACTAAGAAATACAAGAGACAGAACTAAACACTTATTATGAATTCATACAAGAGTTCAACAAGCACTGCACAGATATAGTGGCAGACCAAGAAAGGAGCGTATGAGGTTATTTATTTATTTTTACCTTAATACTTCAGCCTTGATAGTGCAATTGCCAGGTAATTCATCACCAACTGCAGGTCTACCTTCAGCTTTTTATGTCAAGAAGGAATTGTTTGAACAAGTTGCAAGGTAAATAATTTCTTTCAACAGGGACAGGAGTTTGTTGAGCACGTTTATACTTTTAGCCACTGAAATTTTGAGCAAAGCTTCAAGGGTACTAGAAATTGATGCAGCTCTTTCAAGTTTATGAACATCTCTTGGTCACAGAAGCTTGTATTGCAATGTAAACTAGAAGATTTTGGAGACAGTCGTATAATGCACAAGTGTATTGCATGAGGAAAAAGAAGCCACAGCACTGGTTTTATAATATAAATGTTTTGGGGTCTGTTTTTTTTTTTGTCCTATGGAGGTTTTTTTGTTTGCTTTTGAAGTTCAGCACCAAGATTTAATTATTTAAACCCCCCCTCCAAAAACTGAAACAAAAATCCGAGAAACCAGAAAACATTTGTTTAATATTTTGGTTACAAAATGACAAGCCTTTCTGTGTATTTAGAAAGTTTTGTGAGCAAAAAGTCATCTCCAATCACCTCCAGGTAACAAGCACATTGCATTTTCACAAAATACTACTGAAAGGGGCTCTAAACAAGCCCATGCCTTTCTTTGCTATGGCAAAGCTTCCATGTGGAGCCACTATGAATGGCTGCACAGCTCTGGCCTGCAGTGGTCAAATGAGGAAGAACTGATGGGCAAGAGCATCAGCCTCAGATTGCTAATATGACAAAGCAAGGATTTTCTCTTTCCCATGAGCTAAAACTATGAAATGAAGTAACAGCTGGCAATGGCTTAACACCCTCTCTAAATCCAACTGCCCACCTCTCACCTTTGGGCTTTACAACTGCAGCATTTATTACACTCAGGCCCCTTACAGACAACCTCTAGTCAAAGACACTGAGCTGCCTCTGCTCCATTACAGAATACAGCTGTGGGTGTTTCACTTTCATAACTGCTATGCAGTTATTTCTCAATAAAGAAAGTAAAGCTACAGTAATGCAGGCTGACATCCACTCATGGCGTATTTATTTTCCACAGTCAGTGCAAGGTTATTTCTGAATAAGCTCACAGTAATAGCTAGGTGGTAGTGAACTGAGCATTTTCTTATGTTTGATTTTGTAATTCTTGGGGAAAAAAACCAATGACCTAACGTCAGCTTCTTATTCATAGTCTTACAACAGTCACAAATTAAAGTAGTTTTCCTGGATGGATTCTAAAGTAGAGAAGGATGTATATATAAGCATTGTATCTTTATTTATTGAGGTTAAAAAAGAAAGATAATTCCCCCTCTATAGGCCACAAGACATCCAATTCCCTAGAAAAGAGATAACTATTTGGGGCTCTTTTCTAAACAGTCATTTCCTCCTGAATGCATAGTAAAGCAAAACTGTATCCCGGATCGTTTTAAGAAAAGAATACTGTTATTGTGCAGGAATAGAAAGTGTGCACAGTTAAAGGGCTAAAGGAAAGGAGCAAAGGAGGAATGAATGCAAAGGATAAGGATGAAATATAATCACTATTTACATATATATATACAGGCACACACATCATAGGGTTAGATTACCTATGGTATTTCTTACTCAGCCAGAAGTTATATCCTAAAATCATGTTCTATGGGTTTTGCTCTTTGGAAGAGGAGCCAAAATGTGGACTTTGTAGCAGCAATCCCCTCAAGGCTAAAGCCTCTTCCTCTGCAAAGCCACTGGCAGTTTTGGAGGTGAGGAATTCCTTACTGTCTCAGGTTACAACTCCAAGGACAGTCTGCCCTCAAACCAGCTGAGATGGAGCGGGGACTGAGACTGGCATCGACATATTTTTATCAGCTTTGAAAACATTTCTCTGTGTCATTGTTCCTGCCTCCTCCCTCTTGCCCCCTTTTTTTTTATTTGCAAGAAGAGTGGTAATCTCCAGGGAAAAACAAAACAACAAAACACCAGTAATCTCACGAAGGACCGTAAGTACTCCTTTCTGTCAAAGCTGAAGCTGGAAAAGAATGTTTCAGTCAATCGGTATCCATATTAAACAGGAATTACAAACCTTCTAAAAATGTTGAACTATTTATACTAAACCAGTTAGACTAACATACCACCACAATGGAATGGGCAGAAAGAAAACTGATACAACTTTTCTAAAACCTAAGGAAAATTAAGCACAATGTGTAGAAAGGCAGAACTGTCACTATGAATTTAACTGGATCTGTCATTACATAACTAAGTATAGTTAGCTTAATTAGACCATTACAGACTTGTTTTTAAAAAAATGTGTTAATTCAACACAGAAACGGTGATAGAACAAAACCAATCTCTGATGTTCCTGCTGAAGCATCTCAATAGCAGTGTCTTGTGCAGAATCCAGCACGAGAGTCTTTGTACACAGTGGAGTATCGAACTAACAGTGTTGAATCACCTTTCAGCAACAATTCATATTGTTCCAATGACAAAAATAAATCCAAAGAGCATTAACAATCACTATATTCATACCTCCACAAGTAACTCTTTGCTACATGGTTTAAAAGGTAAAATAAAGTGCTGTGGCTTCTCCATGCTCTGAGCCCTTCCCCCAGTTTTGACATTTTGCAAGAGCTGGCCTTGAAACCCAAGCAAGCAGCTTTCTCTAGGCAGAGAAGCCATCTGGCATCACTGTTCTTTGAACAACTTAAGATCCAAACAGATACAGTTCAACTAAATGTCTTTGGGAGAGATAATAGTTCTACTAAAAGCAGGCAGTGCTATTTTTGGAATTAAGAGTAAGTGGTACTGGACAAAGCATATAAAATTACCTCTGTTTGTGCTTTTGGTTCTCCGGCTTTGGCCCTCTCCAACAGTTCCTCAAAGAGCACTTCAGGTTCTTCCTTCATGGTCTCTATAAATTAATGTGATTTAAAAAACTGGTTTACTAGCAACTCTTGAAATTATTTTCTAAATTGTTACTATATTTGGTTGAAGAATTAAAGGATCACATTGAAAAAATCCAACATGAGGGTGTTACAAGAACAGCAGTGGAAATTAACTCATTATAATATTTACACTGTATCTCAATGTTCTGCTTCAGTGTATGCACCATTACTTGTTATTTGGTACCTGCCACAGGACGCTACACACAGTTTACAGTTTCTCATTCACTTCCCCAGGATTCATCCCTCAATAGAATTCTCACTGCAGTGAAAATGGACACACACAGAACCTGCAGAACTGATCAACTTTTGTACTTACTGCTGAGAGCCCTCAAGTCCCTACCATGACTGCTCATTTATTTGGTAGTGAAGCATTTTCAAGCATTCTGAATAATCAACCAGCCTGTAAAACTTAGCTAGTACGTTTGGAAGTTCAGCTCCTCAGCCCTTGGACTCCACAGAAACAATAAAAATGAGTAAATGCTTATAGGATTCATCCTACTTCATCCAGTTCAACACTCATAGCTAACTGTTTCTCCTTTCCTATCTGACTATACACATACAGATGTAACCACAGTTTTTTCTTCCTCAACAGCACGGAATTGATCTACTGGTCAGACATAAAGAAAAATCTTCCCAGCTCTATCTGATATCCAGTGCTTGTAAATAACAACATGCTGTGTATCATTTTATGAAGGAAGAACACTTTTAATGGAAAAGCTAACAAAGCCTATAACAACTACTTGTTCTTTTATATGAGAACCTGCAATCTGAAATTTGTTTGAAATATTAAAGAGAAAAACAATACGGTTTAATCAACACAGAGTGCGTTAGAAAGAACAGACCACTGATTCACAACACGGTTATCAAGCAAGCTAGAACTACAGCTAGAAAGGCAGGCCTAAACTCAACAACAAGCTCCAAAGCCTTACCCCATCATCCTGCAAGGTCATCAAACACACTGTGATGCTTGGCAGCTATGTATTTAGGGCAGACAGCATGACAAAGCGTGGTCAGAAGGAACAGTCCCAGAGCGTAGGAAACTGTGCCTAAGAGACATTTTCTGGCACTTGCTCAAAGCTACAGATTTCAGTCTCTACCTAATATGGTCAGTGATAGTGCATGAAGCATGGGTAAGCAGCCCAGTTAGCTGAGGTGACATTAAGTATCAGTGATTTTTCAAGAAGTGAGAGGAAGAAGAATATAAACCAATTTCACATAATCTCCCAAAGAAAAAGACTACTTACACTCTTCGATATTTCTGGTACTGGGACTATTTCCAAACAAGAACAGGCTGCAAGCCAGCCCTTTCATTAAAATGGATATATTTTAACAAGAGCAAATCATGAAGTAAGTTTTCTCCTTCCCCATGCCACAGTTTTGTCTGCCAAGCTCCACTTGGAAAAATACTAATGCCAGATTATAATACGTTGTCTGGCTAAACAAGGCACATAGTGAAAAATAATTTTCAATTACTACTCCCTCTTTTCAGAAAGCTGTAAAAATATTATTGTAAGATAGGAAAACAACATCCCAGGAAAATTAACCACTTAATCTCCTTGCCTGATATATAGCCAACCACACTGAACTCCAAACAAGTCAGAAGCCTCCTCTCCAGATGGCACCACTCACATCAGCACCCATCCTTCAGGGGCTCTCTGCTAACAACAGAAGTTGCAGTGAAGAGTGTATTGTTTGAAAAAAACATAATATTCATTTATCTACCCCACTCAAATGAAAAGAATTGGGCAATGCAGCATTCTTCTGCTTCTTCCTCTGCTTTCACTCATTCATAAGCTTCTTTCAAATCAGCAGCAATAGTTTTGGCTACAGAATATTTTTTGTTCAATATTTGGTACATGCTGAGAAGAAAACACCATCAAAGTTTCAGTGATACTCCGGATGAACCAGTGAAAGAGGCAGCAGTCAGAAGTTAAAGTGTTCAATAACTAAGTGCAATGTTCATAGCAAAATCACAGAAAGTTTGCTAAACTGATATGAACATCAATAATACATCTGGTTATCTGGCAGCTTATACACACACAATACTTTCCTTTCTTGCCTGTTCCATCTTGCAGGCACAGAGCAAGAAATGCCATGGCTCTGGTTCCTTCCACCTCTTGCTCAGCTAGAAGTTTGTTAGGGAGCTTTTGCTGAGACTCCAAGACAAAATGACATTTCACTATCTTTGAAAGAAGGGTCAGACAACTTGGGAAGAGTTAAAGACAGGGTATGCAGAGGGGAAATCAGAATGACAAAAACCCAGCAAAAACTTAATCTGACCATCATTATTAAAAATAATTAAAAGTATTTTAGCAAATAGATTAACAACAGGAGGAATGCCAAGAAGAATCTCCCACTCTTACTGGACACTGCAGGGAACATTATCACAAAGGACTATGAAAAGGCTGAGGTTCTCCACACCTTCTTTACTTCTGTCTTATTATCCGGCCAGGTATCCTCAGGGTACTGAGCCCCCTAAGCTGGTATACAGGGATGAGGAGCAGAATAAAACCCCCCTCAACTACTGAGGAGGAAACAGAGACCTGCTTCTCCACCTGCACTGACACAAATCTATAGGCCCAGATGGGATCAACCCAAATGTACTGATAGAGCTGGCAGAAGTGACTGCTAAGCCACTTTCTATCATATATCAGCAGTCTTAGTCAATGGGGGAGGTCCAAGACAACTGGAAATTTGCTAATAAGAAAACATACAAGAAACATCAGAAGGAGGATCTAAGGAACTACAACTCTGTCAGCATGCACTCAGAAACCCATGGCTTGGCAAGGTGTGCTCCTTGTAAAGTGTAAAACTGGCTGCATGGCTGGGCCCATAGGGTAGCAGTAGTGAACAGTTAAGTCCAGTTGTCACTACTGGTGTTCCTCCGGAATCAGTACTGCAGCTGGCCCTGTTTAATACTGTTACTGATTATCTGGACAAGGGGAATGAGTACACCCCTAGTAAATTTGCAGATAACAATTTGGGAGGAAGCGTTGATATGCCTATGGGTAAGAAGGCCCAACAGATGGATCTAGATAGGCTGGATGGGCTGAGGCCAACTGTACGAGTTTTAAGAAGACTAAGTGCCTGGTCCTGCACTTTGGGTACAACAACCCTAGGAAACGCTACAGGCTTGGGGCAGAGCGGTTGGTAACGTACACAGAGGAAAATGAACCAGGGGTGTTACTGACAGCCAGCAGCATACCTAAGCAGCTAAGAAGGCCAATAGCATCTTGACTAGTATCAAAAAGGGCAGTCACCAGGATCAGGGAGGTGATCTGCACTCAATCTGTACAGAGGGCACAAATGGTGCCCTCCATACTCAGCCCCATGAAAAGCTGCATATCAAGCACTGCATTCAGTTTTGGACCCTTCACTATAAGGAAGGCAGTGATGCACTAGAATATGTCCAGAAAAGGGCAGCAAAGCTGGTGAGGGGTCAGGAGCACAAATCTTAAAAGGAATGGCTGAGGGATTATTCCATCCGGAAATGAGGAAGTTCAGAAGAGGTCTTATCGCTCTCCCCAACTACCTGAAAGGAAAAGAGGAAATAGCCTTCAGTTGCACCAGGGAAGGTTCAGATTGGATACTGGGGGGGAAAAAAAAAAAAAAAAAAAGATCTCAGAAAGAGTGACGAGGAATTAGAACAGGATGCCAAGGGAGGCACCGGAAGTCTTCAAGCAAAGGGTAGATGTAGCATCAAAGGACGTGGTTTAGGGGGCGCAGCAGTGATGGGTTCACAGTTGGACTAAACTATTTATTGAGGATAGAAAAGACCATTTTTACAATATAAATTAGCAAAGCACACTTATTTCTTTGTTTATTCAACTCTGTGATATTACAATTACATTGCAAATCAACAGGTAAAGTTCTCAGGGAAGACTGCTTTAAAAGTGCAGACTTCCAGTGGAAAAAAGTGCTCCCTGGGGCTGGCTTCAACTTCCTACTCAGTTACCACTTAGATAGCCTCTGCACTGCTACAGAGGAGCTGTAAATAAAAATGCTCATTAACATTATACTTGTGGGTTGGTTCCACAGTTGTGGAGTAAGGGCAAAGAGCAGACAGTGGTGTGTTCTGGAGGTCAAACTTAGAATAGCTATGTGTCCTAGAGTTCCTATAATGATAAATATTTTTCCTTTGCTTAGCTTGAGACAGGCCTAGAAGGTGATCAACAGGATAAAGCATGAACTCCTCAGGTCACACACCTGCTGTATCAATTTACTTTCCTAAAGCATTTAGGTCAGCTGTTGAAGGTAAACAGTACAAAATGCAGTCAAAGTGTATTTCAGAACTAAGAAGGACAGAGAGAGATACTTTCCTTCAACTAAGTTGAAAACTGGGAAGACAAATACTATGAAAGACATGTCCACTATAAAAAGGCTAAGTGATCATCTATAACTTACTGCCCCCTGTTCTTTTCTTAAGCATGTTTTTAGTAAGAAAACCTAATATGTATTCCTCCTACACAGAAGTACCACAATCAAAGTGCTGTCAGTAGAAGCTTTTACTTTCTAGCTTTGGTAAAAAATGATGTCTTTTTAATGTCAAATCTTATTCTGTCTTGAATATAAGATTTTCTAGAAAAGAGGAACATTCATATTACAATACTTCATGCATCTTTTATGACAATTAAAATAGACTTCACTAACAGTTGTGTGTCAGTAGCATTTATATAAGCCAATGAAATCTATCAGTTATTCAAGGTTCACAAGCTCTGCAGCCATTCAAATGAAAGCAGGCAAGCAAAAGCACACAATTTTAAGTAGTATGCAGCATGCACGGAAGAATCAAACTAAGACAACACTGAAGTAGAAGGGTGGTTGGAACTTGACATTCACCTTGAGTTTCTTCCTACCAAGACTCTTTAGTGACCATCATCAGGCCACTGTAGGGTTCAGCTCCTGACACACAGAACAAGTTACTTCTACCTCGTCAGAGGCAGGCCACTCAAAATTACCAATTTTT